GAGAGAGAGAGAGAGAGAGAGAGAGAGAGAGAGAGAGAGAGAGAGAGAGAGCGAGAGAGAGAGAGCGAGTGGGAGAGCGAGTGAGAGGGCGAAAGAGCTGTTTGTTTGTTTATTAACATAACAGTAAGAAAAAATGTGGGGGGTGGAGATTGTAAACTGTGATGTAGTTTGGTTTCTTTCACAAAACGCTAGCTCTTTCTTCTTCCCAGATGCACAAAAGAGCAGTTGGTAGACGCTGTGAGGGCCGGCCGTGCTGACTACGGTATCAGGGAGGTTGATGTGAACGACGGGGAAGAATACATCACGCACTGGGTGCCCCGTCCACAAGTCGCTTGTTCCAGTAAGTAGCAGCGATACGGCACTATGATCACTACCCTAGAATTACCAACTTCTGTCTGACATTTTTTTGCCCTTTTTGAGTTACTATAAAAGACCATGAGGTCCGGAATCAATGTCCTATCTGCTCTATCAAAATCGTAAGGTAATACGGAGTCGTTGTCAAGAGATTCAAATAATTGCATTTTTTAAAAAAGATTGACATGTTTTAAGACTCAAAATTTTTTTACGTCAAATTTCTCAAAAACCAGGCACTGGGCAGATAGAATTGTGTACTTCTAGGATAGCCTTAAGGTTTAAAGCCTTATTCAACACTGCAGTGGTGTTGTTTTAGAAGCGGGACCTTCGACTTCGAAGTGGGCGTCCAATATGCGATAGGATCAAGAAAAGAATGTGAGGAGACCGCTTTGAACCTTCACAAAATAATCCGAGTTCAAACCCCTCATAGCTAGCGTCTATTTCCACGTGGTGTAGGTTGTAGGTTGTTCCAGTGTGTCACATAGCTTGTGTCTGTGGTCACGTGGTGTAGAGGTGAGAATGTTCCTCATGTAACAGCTCCCGAGTTTAGTTCCCGTTTGAGTGTGTGTTTTTGTGCTAGTGTTTGTGTTTGTGCGTGTGTTAGTGTGTGTGTGTGTGTGTTTATGAGTGTGTGTTTATGAGTGTGTGTGTTTATGAGTGTGTGTGTGTTTTTGTGTGTTTGTATGTGTGTTTGTATGTGTGTTTGCATGTGTGTTTGTGTGTTTGTGTGTTTATTCAACAGAGCGACTGAGTTTGACAGCTTGTGTGTATTTTATTATTACGTCCTTTGTGCGTTTTACTTTACATTAAAATTTGTGTCACGACGTGGTGGAATCAGGCACCCGTCAATTTTTGGACATATGGGGTTATTGGTATCATCGTAAAGCTTCTTCATTTGTCTTGCTTTTGGTGGGAAAATATCAATCTATGTTGAAGAGAAGTCGAGATATTTGCAACTGAAAGAGATGAGAGTCGCCTGGTTTCAGAAGTAAAATTAGCGAGAAAATGACCGCCAAAGTTTGGTAACTACTATATCTTGAGAGTCCTTGAAAACTAAAAATATTCATATTTTGTGCCATTAATCAACGTTTTTCAATAAAATAATAATTCACACAGACATGTGTTTTGTATGGACATAAAAGATGTTGAGCCCAAAAAAAAATAATTCAGTAACAATTGTGAAACTGGTGGGAAAATTCCTTTGACAAGCGCCTGATTTCACCACGATGCCTCACATTTACTGTCTTCTGTGGTCAGCTCCCGTCCATAGAGGCTTCCACGACCCTCACTGCGAGGGCCGACAAGTGATCGTCCATCTGTTTGAGTGGAAGTGGACGGACGTGGCCCAGGAGTGTGAGAGGTACCTGGGACCTATGGGATTCTGCGGCGTACAGGTACAGACACAGAGTTTGCCCTAACACTGCTGCTACAACAGAACAGTAAATACAAAGTGTCTAATTGGTTGCTTTTAAGGACAAGCGGGCTAACCCAGATTAAGGGGGTTTCCAGAAATCTTGACCAACACCAAACGTGGACTTTGCCTAACCTATAGGAGAAGTTTGGTTTCAATGTTGTGTCTATTTATTTGGTTATAGAGAAAACTCTCTTTGTATTTTAAAGAAATTGAAGAAGGGTCCAAAAACTTTACCTTTGATTTTCTCAAAACAGCATTTTTCGGGATAGCCCCATTGTGCTTAAAAGCGACCAATTGTAGTTTTAGTGAGAGTTTTACGGCACTTGCAACACAAATGGGTCATATAAATGCCGAAGATCAGAGGTGTTACAAAAGAACAACTTTCGCGGAGTTCAGGTTAGCAATAAATGTCAAGACTTGCGTTCTATTCCTCAGTGGGGGATTTCTAATTGAGGTTGAACACGTATTTCTGCCTGTCTACCCACTTGTTGCACATGAGTCAGCCAGGGTTGTCACTCAACAAAGGCAGGTTCGAAACAGCCCTCCGCGGGAAGTTCTATAGGGGTTTGCCAGTGAGGTCAGGTTCACAGTAACTGCCAAGCATATGTCGGTGACACAGCGTTTCGATGGGCGGTCATTGGGGTGGCGCCTCGAGCAAGACAGGATACTCCTTGCTGAAAAAAGGGAGCTCAGCACAAGGGCAACAACTCGTAGTGTGTTTTAATGTTTATGTTTTAATGTGTTGTATGTTTTTAATGTGTATGTTTTAATGTGTATGTTTTAGTGTGTATGTTTTAATGTGTGGGTTTTAATGTGTATGCATCTATGTATTTGTGTATTTAGGTACCGCTTTAGTGTACCTCATATTTTATGTACCGTATTTATGTATGTATACAATAGTTTTGTTATGTCATGCATTGCATGACCTTATGCAGTTGCGAGCGCCGTAAAACCCTATATGCATTGCAAATCAAATTTACTATCGGGTATCAATAAAAGTGATTTTTTTGTTTGTTTTGGTATGTATTAAATTTTACTTTGCGTTGATCTGGTCGTAAAATATGAAGAAACTACATGTAGATGTTTTCGCTTTCTATCTCGCTTCTCGCTCAGATTTCCCCTCCAAATGAGCACGTCAACGAATTCCCCAAGTGGGCGTGGTCCGAGCGCTATAACCCGGTCAGCTACAAGCTGGAGAGTCGCAGCGGTACAGAGGCCCAGCTCAGGGACATGGTGCAGCGCTGTAACAAAGTCGGAGTGAGGTCAGTTGACAGACAGACAGACAGACAGACAGACAGACAGACAGACAGACAGACAGACAGACAGAGATGGAAAGATGAATAGACGCAGCGGTACAGAAATACCTTCTCTCTATCTCCAGAATTTACGCTGACGCCGTGATAAATACCTTCTCTCTATCTCCAGAATTTACGCTGACGCCGTGATAAATACCTTCTCTCTATCTCCAGAATTTACGCAGACGCCGTGATAAATACCTTCTCTCTATCTCCAGAATTTACGCAGACGCCGTGATAAACCACATGGCGGCCTTGGAGTTTGCCGGGTTTGGCGTGGCCGGAAGTTTCTACAACGCCAGCGCCAGATACTTCCCTGGCGTCCCCTACAACAGCAGTCACTTCAACATGGCAAACAGATGCCCTGGGGCCAACTCACAGTCGCCAGTGTAAGGTTTTGAGTGGTATTGCTCCGGTTGCGCTTTGATGATGATTAGACATGCACAATTTTGAGGTTTTTGAAAGCTTTTAAAATGGCATTTATTAGCTGTTTCTCTGTCTTGTTTCGTAAAATTGTATGTTTTTAAACTAATGCCAAGAGACACTGGAAATAAACCATTGAGAAACCATAATGTATTTTATTCTAAAATTTTGGGTGGTGTTGCTTCAGTCGCGCATTGATGATAAAACATGGACAATTTTTAGGTTTTCGGAGATTATTAGGATGGCATTGATTAGCTGTGTCTCTTTCTTGTTCCGTAGAACTGTATGTTTTAAAACTTACGCCAAGAGTCGCTGGAAATAAACCATTGAGAAACCATGATGAAGCTCATTCTAAAACGCATTCCCTCACGTTCTCGCACAGCCGCCATGACCTGACGGACATCAGAAACTGCGGCCTGAGCCCACTGACTGACCTCAACCACGGCTTTGAGTGGGTGCGGGCCAAGGTCGCCGCCTACCTCAACAGTCTGATCGACATAGGCGTGGCCGGCTTCAGGGTGGACGCCGCCACATACATCTGGCCCATGGACTTAGACAGCATCCTGTCACGGGTATGTGCGGGGGTAGAGGTTAAGTTGAGCCCTCCGTGTGGAGCGTACTTGACCTACCACGCCCGTCCCGTCCGAGATCTCTTCTCTATACGGGGCCAACATGTGTGTGTTTGTGGG